AGGTAAGAATGGGATGGGTGTGATAAAGAAAGGCAAATTCGGTCACATCGAAGACAAGCAAGTGCCACAGTCCAGTGAGACCCATCAAGAATGGGATTAGCAGGAAGAGGGAGAGTTGTGGTGGAGTAATAGGGGAAAGTAAAGAAAGAGAGATAAAGAGAAGAGACGAGAGACGCAAGTGGAGGGCAGGAGAGGGTGGGGTTATACTGAAAGGAAGGCAGGTGCAAAAACCATCATGCTGCAGCCTCTGAAGCTGCGGATACTGTGACTGCACCACACGTCTGCTCCATCCAAAGATGCCCTCTGCCCATGCCAAGCTGCTAGGTCATTGTCCTTAATCTTGGACATATCTACTTGTATCCTTCAAAGCTCCACATGCTGAATGTATCTGGTGTGTCTTGGGGCAATATAATGACAGCAGGGTCCCCTCATCCAGAAGGCCCCTGTCATGGCTGTGTCCCCCCAGGCCTCATGCAGTCATGGGTGGGGGTTTTTCAGTAGCTGGAACTAGAGCATGTGATGCTGGAATTGATTCATGGTGCAATGCTAGGTTCAAGGGCACTAGGATTATGAGTGTGAGTGCTACCCACCCTAAGTATCTTGGATAAGATGGATTCTTTTTGGGGTTTTTTGTTGGTTTTTTTTTTTTTGTCCCAGGGATTGAACTCAGGTCCTTGCGCTTGCACAGCAGGCAGCGAAACCACTGAGCTAAATCCCCGGCCCTCTTGGATAAGATGTAAGGGATGGAAAGAACTGTGGTCATCTCTTGTTGCTTTGCTACCTTCTGCTCGCCATGAACTGTTCCTCAGTGACTCCCCTCTGCCATGCCACCCTGGCTTGGAGCTAGCTGACTATGGACTGAAACCTCTACCAACTCTAAGCCAAATAAACCTAACCCCCTTTAACTTTGGGTGTTGGGTATTTTGTGTCCACAACAAGAAAAGTAACTAAGATAGTCTCAGATGTAGCAGTTGTCCCTAATTTTCTCTTGTTTGGACTGAGAGCCCTGGGTTCATATCTCCTCCCTGCCATCCATCCTTGGTGGCTTCCAGCATAAGGAACATGCACTGAACACAGACAGTGTCAACCTCCCCCAAGAATATTATAACTGACTCCGTTTCAGATATTTCACTCGGGCTGTGACACTCACTGAGGTGAATTGGGTGGGGTGAACAGAATGGATGTGGCCACAGCAGTTGGGGGAAGTGTCTATCGAGCAGACGTGGGACGGACGAGGTCTCTTGAGCCAACAACAGCCTTTGTGATGAGGGCCTTGAGCAGAAGAAGCTTTGAAAGCCCAGTTGGTGGTCAGAATCCTTAGTTACAGCTCAGCTGTGTAAGCAGAGACCACAAACAACTGCGCAGCCCTCCTGGGCGGCTGCCTCAGAGACAGCCTGTCAGTGTCAGGATGAGAAAGAATGAATCTGAATGCTCCAGAGAGCAACCTCGGTGAAGCTTTGCACTAATTGAAGTTTGGATGGAAGTGCTAGAATCCCTCTGAGCATCTCCCCAAATTAATTAACTACTGGGCTGAAATGAATAAAGAGAAAGCTTGAGAGAGAGATTTCCCCCTCTCTGTCTATTCTTCCTGCTGGACTTTGAAAGTTACTCAATACAAATGGTGGGTCCAGCATAGTTGGTTAGATAGAACTGAGCCAGAATCCCTACTGCCCAATGTTTAGCCTTCATGGCTCTGGCCTTTTGTGGAGCCCTCTCTGCCAAAGAAGGGATGCCTTTGTTTAATTGCCACTGGCTCTTTCAGACCTTGCCAGGAGTTGAGCCTCCTTGGTACCCTGCACACCCTCCCCAAGTCCCACCACATGCAGTTAGGTTACAGTTACCCTCTGTTCCTGAGTTCCCCATGTCAATCTTTCCCAGTTACCCAAAAGCCTCCCGTGAGGGGACATGTCTTAGTTGTCCTACACTCCAGCTTCCATCACGTGGTCCAGCATAAGGTAGAGCTCAGCATGTTTTGACTGTGAACCAACATTAGAAACCTATTGAGATATTTAGATGGTTTATTTTGGCATTGCTGTATTTGGTGGCCAGAAAAGTCCCTACAAGTAGGATTTGGTTGTGCATACATGAGTCATGGTGTGGAATTTAACTGTGTCTGACATACTGTCCACGCACACTTTGATGAGCTGCTGAATGTGTAGATTCCCACAAGCTGGGCAGAAACTTCTAAAGCTGACCAGGACTCCTGGTGCAATGACAAGGAGTTTTGCAAAAAGTTAGATAGGAGCTCTTTGCTCTCTAAATGTTTCTCACATAGTTTTTTGTTTTTGTTTTCTGAGTATCTCCACTCTGGGAGTCCAAGTACTGTAAAAATAGAACATCGACTGGGATTGGGATTTACCATTCAACAGGGAGTTTCTTGACAATACTGTCTTCCTCTTAGATCAGCAAGAAACTTGTGAGGTGGAAAGTCCTGGGCATTATGTATGGGGTCTCTGCCCAAGGTGCTGGCAGATGCACCTTACACAAGCGTCAGCTGCCACACTATCTAGTCAACACCCCCTCACTTATCATTTTAGTCCATTGGGGTGAAATGTAGTTATGGCCAAGAGGAGGTTGCACAGTAAGCTTATCAGCAGCTCACACTTTATACTTAGTGGTAAATGAGTGAGGGTGAGTTAATGACCCAGAGGGGCTGTGCAGGGAGATGGGCGGCCAAAGATGCCCTGTCCCTGCTTTATGATTGTGTGCAGGGTCTGGCCTGCTCAGAATCCCTCCTGTGCTTCTAGAATATGCGTCACAGGTGGCCGAATTCTCCTAGGAGGTGAGGACCAGGAGATTCAATGTGCCAAATTCTTTCCCTCTGAAGGAAACAGTCCTGGTAATAGGGACAGACAATAAACAAATGAAATAAGCTGAGGCTATTGGAGTAGGGTCACCACATAATCAACAGGACATCTAGTTAAATTTGAACTTCACATAAATGAAGAATTGCTTTTTATTATGTTTCAAATATTGACTGGAATGTACTTATATTATTTTTTCAAGTTTTACCCCAAAACACAAATGGCCCCAGCCATTTCTAATCTTTTTTAAAATTTTAACTTTTATTAGCACATTTGCAGTACCTAATGATTACTTATAGTAAAGATTATTTGTTGTTATATGAATATAGATAATCCTACTGAGCTATACATTTAAAATGGTTAAGATGGTTCTTTAAAGTTATGTATCATTGTTACCAAGAGACTAATTTAAGTGGATCCCCTGTTTCTGTTTGGTTGAGGGTTTTTCTTGTGTGTTTAGGGTGGTTTTTGTTTGCTTTTGTTTTTGTTTTTATTTGCACTGCTGTGGATCAAATCCAGGGCCTCAGGCATGCTAGGCAAGAGCTCTACCACCGAGTTGCACTGCCAGCACAGCCCTGTGTTTTTATTTGCTAAATTTGGCAACTCTAAAACGGAGACAATAACCTCCCTTCCTATTCTGCCTTCACTCCAAGCCGGGATCATAGATAAAATCATAAGGATTTCAGGGCTTAGAAATTAAACTCTGGCTTCTCCTGGGGAAGACTGAGGCACAGGCAGTCTGAGATGAAAGATGGGGTTCCAGATGCGGAGCCTGAGAGTCCACAAACTTCTGGACTCCTGCAAAGGAATCTCAGTTCCATGGGCCCACTGTGCTGCCCTCTGGGAGGGAAGAGCCTAAAGCCGGGTACTGAAAGATCCCGAAGGACAGGCCCCGACAGAAGTCAGCAGTCAGTGGCCTGGATATGCCTGTCATCACTTCAGCCCTTTCTGACAGTCACACCCCAGTCTCCAGGCGGCAAAGCCATGCCTAGGTGCACTCCCACTTTAAGCAAACCCTATGCCACACAGAAAAATCTTTGCTTACCAAAACACCACAGGGAGAGATCACTTATCCTGTTGACATTAGGATACACCACAGGCTTCTTTCATTAGTAACCTCCCCTCATGCATTCAGAATAGGATTCTATTTACAAAGGAAAATAAAAGGAAGATTGGCACACTACCCTGTGCCAGGCCCAGGATTGCAAAAGCGAGTTATTCCTGTCTGAAGGACAGGCCACTGGCAGGTCACCTGCAGGTTGCAGGGACAGCAGATGTGTGTGCAGCAGCTGAGCAGATGTGCAGAATGGCTACATGACAGTAACATACTTTCCCAGGTTTGCAGAGCCAGGCTTGTTGTTTTACAGGCACACTATGAGAATGTGAGGTTAGCTGCAGCTTGCTTCTGGTTGGATGTGGCTTGGTCCCCAGTGGGAAGGGACTGAAGTGGCGGGACTGCCAAGAGGTGGGGCCTCAAAGAAGGGAATTAGGGCATGGGGGCTCCATCGTTATGAACAGACTAATGTGGTCTCTCAGAGGGGGCTGGGTCTCACAGGAGTGAATTATTTCTCTCAAAGGTAGCTTGGCCTCTTCTATGAGGCTGGTTCCCCTTTCACTTTTGAACTCATGTTGTGATATATCCATGGGTCCCTTGCTGGGACTCTGGTGCCATGTTGTCTGGACCTTTCAGCCACTAAAATCATCAGCAAAATAAACCTTTTGTCTTTATAAAGTACCCAACCTGGAATACTTTGTTATAGCAGCACAAAACAGACTAATGCAGCTTGTATTTGTGCCTGTCGCCTCACCCAGAGAGATGATGGAAAGTGATGAGGATAGAGGAGCTTTCTGTGGTGGATGTGATCATGGAAGGAAGTGATGCCCTGGTGAAGAGTGAATCAGGCAGACAGGAACATCCAAGAAAGGTTAGTGAGGGCACTACTTCATGGAGCTCCCACTTGGTCAGCATTTGGTGGCGGTCTGCCTGGTGCACTGTTGGTAGTGGGAAGGTACAAAAAGAATACTGCTAGTAACGAGAACAGACAAAATCCCATGTTCCATATTTCAGTTGAACTGTGTCCCCTAAAGAAGATTTTAAGTCTTAAGCCCAGTATCTTAGAATGTGACCTCACTTGGAAACAGGATCATTGGAGATGGAATGAGTTCCAGTGAGGTCACAGTGGAGTGGGTAACAGGGCCTTAGACCAGTGTAACTCTTGTCCTTGTAAGAGTGAGATCATGTGAACACACTCAGGGGGAACCCCATGTGATGACAAAGGCAGCTGCAAGCCAAGGAGCACCAATACGGCCAGCAAGCCACCTGAAAGGAAAGAGATCAGAACAGATCTTCCCTCAGTCTTGCCAACAACTGTATCTCCAATTTGTAAGCATCCAGAATTGTAAGAACATAAATGCGTGCTGTTTAAACTACACAGCTGGTGGTACTTTATTATGGCAGCCCTAGCAAGCTAATGGACATCATAATAACAATATACCAGCTGTAATTTGGATCTAGGATGTCTACGTCAGCCCCTTTGTTGAATCCGTGGTTCCTGGTCTGTGACACACTGAGAGATGGAGGAACAAATAGGGCCTTGTGAAAGGAAGTTAAACCATTGGGCCATGAAGGAGATACTGGGCCCCCAACCCTTTCCTCTTTCTGTCCTTTGCTTCTCAGACACCCTGAGGCAAGCAGCTGTCTTCACTATGTGCTCTCACCACGATGTGCTGTCCACTACAGGCCCAAAGCAACAAGGTGGCCATCTGTGCACAGAAACTTTTGAAACCAAGAGCCAAAATAAATCTGCCCTCCTTTAAATTAATTTATTTCAGGTATTTTGTTACAGTCACAGAAGGCTGACTAGTGAATGATGACATGTGGTTGGTCCAGTGCTAAGTGGCTTATAGTGCAGATTATATCACCCATTTGTCACCGTAGCCCTGTGAGAAAGGGGCTGCTATTATCACGTTGAGGACAGGAGTGCGTAGAGAGGCCTGAGGTCACACACCCAGGGCTCAGCTCCAGAGATGTCTAAGGTGACAGCCTGGGCCCCCAACCCCTGCCACATGACCTGTACTTAGCACTGAGCAAGACCCGGAGCCAGCAACAGCAGGGTGAGTAAATATTCTCCACAGAGATATCATAAAGTCCACAAAGAAGACACTAATGTCTCAGGAAGTGTTAACACTTTTAAAAGAGGCCTAAAAGGGAAAACTAATAAAAAAGCAAAACCCCAAAATCTCAAATCACTTTAGGTAGAAACTTAAATAACAAAGAGAAAGATTCCTTGGACTTGAGAAAATGTCAGATTATACTTCAGAAACAGTAACCTACTTCATGTGGGTTTCAGGTCAGGTCAGCCCTGCTCAGCACTCAGAGGGAAACTGGTTCGAACTAGCACTAAAGTTTGGATTTTAAACGCCCACACGTTAAAGGCTTGGTCTTGCTTGGTGCAATTGGGAGGTGGTGGGGCCTTGAGGTGGGGCCAGTGGGAGGTCTGCAGGTCACTGGGGGCATGGCCTTGAAAGGGATGATGGAACTTGGCCCCTTTCTATTTCTCTCTGTTTGCTCCTTGGCCTTGAGATGAGCGATTTTGCAGGGCATTCACTCTGGCTAGTACATATTGCACCACTGGAGGCCCAGAGCAACAGGGCCAACTGATCACGGACTGAGAGCTCCCAAACTGTGACCCAAAATAAACCTCCTCTCTAAGGCGATTATCTCAGGTATTTGCTATAGTGACTGAATGCTGACTAACACTAGGAAGTCACTGTATGAGTCAGGAGGGCTGGGTTGTTGCAATGGCAAATGAGCCCTGAAATCCAATGACAAATCCAGATGGTAACTAAAAGGGCAAGAGCACTACTTCCAGGGTGATTTGGATTCATGACCTGTTAATGTTGCTAAGAGGAAAAAAAAAACAGCTTGTGTATCATAAACAAGGAGAAAGCTTCTTGATGAAATAATGCCAGTGGCTAAGCCATGGTTAAGCTTATCACAGACTAGATATGTTAAAGATGAATACAAATGTGATTGAAATACATGTTCTTTCACAAATGGCTTTAGGAGGTGATCAAAAATATGGCAAATGCTGCTGAGGGCCATCCAACAGGAAGGCAGACTCATAAAAATATTACAGTGTGTCCTCATCCACCTTATTCACCAGATCTGGCACCATACCACTTCTTGCTCTTCCCCCAAATCAAAATGTTCATGAAAGATAAACATCTTGAGTTTATTCAGGACATTGAGGCAGCCAGGACAGCACAACTAAAGATACTCATGAAAGAAGACTTCCAGAACTGCTTCAGAAAATGGCAAGAATGATAGGATAATTATACTTGAAGTAAGAGTGAATATTTTGAGGGAGATTAATGGAAATATCTTTGACTGTAATAAATTTTTAAAAATTTGTTAAACATTCACTGTATTTTTTATGATACTGCATATGACATATGAAACCTTTTCAAAGTTTTTATGTCATTCATTTCTGAAATATTCAAAATCTTTTATCCCTTATAAGTAAACATTACACCTTTATAAAATCTTTAATCAACACATAGTAGATACTTAAGAATCTGTTGAATGATTGAATGAAATGAATATTAGGAGTTACGGTGTGAAATAAGATATAGGTAAATTAACCATAGAAGAAACATTCCTTGGGATGCCTTTTGTGTGTGTTATGAATCAAACATAGGGTCCTGAGCATACTGGGCAAGCACTCTACCACTGAGTTAAATCCCCAACTCCCCTGGGATGCTTTTCTTCTTTGAAGTTTGGGTGTTCATGAGCCCATAAAATTGAAGGGGAAAAAATGGATAAGTTGGCTTATAAGGACATTAAAAACAGCAACAATGGTGACAAAGATAACTTACTCTCAAAAGAGCAAATCAAAACATTAGGCTAACCTGATTTAGAATAGGAGCAATCTTTGGACTGAATACAGTAGCCCCCATCTCATCCACAGTTTCACTTTCTGTGCTTTCAGTTACCTGTGGTCCAAAAATGCTGAGTAGAAAATTCTTGAAGTAGACAAGTTTTAAATTATGCACTGCTGTGAGTAGCACTATGAATTCTCATTCTCTCCTGCTCTGTCCCACCTCAGAGGTGAGCAATCCCCCTGTCCAGAGTATCCTTGTTGTATATGCTACCCACCTTGTAGCCCCTTAGTAGTCCTTTCAGTTACCAGCTCAACTGTGACAGTGTCTCAATGCCTGTGTTCAACCAATGCTTATTTTTGTTCATTTTTTTTTTTTGTACCAGGGATTGAACTCAGGACCTTGAGCTTCCAAGGCAGGCATGGCACCACTGAGCTAAATTCCCAGCAATGCTTCTTTTCTTTTCTTTTTGGTACAGGGAATCGAACTCAGGACCTTGCACTTTTGAGGCAGGCAGCGGCAGCACTGAGCTAAATCCCAGGCCCTAACACTTATTTTCTTAATAGTGGCCCCAAAGCACAGGGTTGTGCTGGCAATTTGGGTATGCCAAAGAGAAGAAGTAAAGTGCTTCCTTTAAGTCAAAAGGTTAAAGTACTACAAGACGTTTTGAAAGAAAGGAAGATGAGAGACAGACCACATTCACTTAACTTTTATTACGGTATATTGTCATAATTGTTCTATTATATTTGCTGTTAATCTCTTACTGTGCTTAATTTATAAATTAAGCCTATCACAGGTATGGGCATATTGGGAAAAACAGCATAGATATGGTTCAGTCCTGTCCGAGGTTTCAGGCATCTGCTGGGCATCGTGGACTGTCCCCCAGAGGATAAACGGGGACAATTGTACATTTAGCCTTTGGGAAATCTTACTATGTCATCTTTATTTTTCTTATTCTGTCAAAGCAAAATGCACTAATCAGCATATTCCTCTCAAAGTCTGATAAACAGAACCCCAGGCTGCTGGACGTGGCATCAGCAGTGCTCACCCCACCCTAGTTCCTGGCTATCTCCCGACCCGCCCATGACCTGTCTCACTGGGCAGGCAGGGGCATTAGCTCTCCTGGGGGCAGCACCGGCCCTGGCTCCTGGACTCCTGCCCTGGCTCGCTCCTGAGCGGTTCTCACAGGGATTAGCCTGAGGCACAGCCTCCTTTCCTCCCCGCTGGCAGACGCCTTCCTGCCTCTCCGGGCCCACCTGCTCTTGCTCTGAGGCTGGGCCCTGTCCCTGGGACCCTGGGGCTGCCTCTGCCTGTCAGTAACACTGCTGCAGCTGCCTTCAGGCCCCATCCAGCCTTGGGAAGGTGGTGTTCCTGCTGCTCTGCCAGGGACCAGGGCCCGTGACCCTCGCAGACGCGGCGGCCACCGCTCCCTCAGCTGGGCCCACAGCACTGGTCAGCAGGACAGAGCGCAAGGACGAGCGAGTTCCCACCTCTGTTTGCACCCAGAGGTGGACATCGGAAAGGTCCAGGAGACGGCAAGCACCTGTTTATTTTTAAGCACTTCTTAATTGGTTGGATGGCATGGGCATTTGGACAGCCAGGAAGGCAGGTAGATGTGATGATTAATGCATCTCATTGCTTTAAGGGGCAACAAAATAGGGACGTGGGATCCAGTGCTGTGGCTTTCTCCTTGGAACGGAGTCCTTGTTGGCATGCGTGCATGTGCTTTCCCAAGTTTAAACTTTCAGAGTTACATAACCGTTCCCCTTGGCTTATCATCAGATTTCCAGATTAGCTAGAGGTACCCTGCAAGGCGGGGGAGTCGGCATGGGGGAGCCCCGTGACCCGGCCGCTTCCGGTCAGGGCGGCTCTCTGAGTGAAGGCAGGGAAGTGGGGCATCGCTAGGGAGCCTGGTACCTGGTTTTGAGGCTTTGAGGCCACTGCCCTTAGCACCTCCAGATCCCAAAACTGTAACCATTTAAAGTTAATAACTTTATCATACTTTGTCCCTTATAAAGAATATCGGGTCCCTTGAGATGTCTGTGCTGGCAGGAAACACTTGAATGAAAGTCAAAATTTCCAGTTATTCAAGTTCTCATATAAGTGGTATATTCAACCCTCCCCAGATTGGAACAGTGTGATTCCTGGAAGCAGTGTCCAGTAGGGCTCAGACCCTGAACGTGTCCTTTCTTCTCTTGCTTGTCACCTTCTTTCAACTAAGCATCGCCTAACTGCTGCGTCTGTAGGGCTTGGGAATGTGGTGGCAGAGAGACTGTGGGTAGGACTGCACATTGCAGACTTCACATGGTAGAACACCACGTATGTGTGATTAACTTTATATGTCATCTGGCTGGGCCACAGTGCCCACATGTTTGGTGAAAGCTTAATCTAGATGTTTCTGTGGTTGTATTTTTTGGATGATACTGACATTTAAATTGGTGGACTTGGTGAAAAGCAGATTTGTCTCCATAACATGGAGTATGTGTGTGTATATAAGCACATATATCTACATTCTATCCTGTGTATATAGATACATCTCACACACACCCACACCCACACCCACACCCTTCACTGCATAATCACAAAAGCCTGACTAATGCAAGCCCTGTGTCTATCCCTGGCACAGAATTACATCTCTTCTGCAACCCAGACCAACCAAGGCCCTCCCTTCCTCCCCTGGGCCTGTAGAATTTGCAATGAGGATTACTGTCTCTAAGCCCTGAGATTCCTGGTGAATGGCCTACAGAAATGCAAAGCACCAGCCATGGCCAGAGTTCCCCCAGAACCAGAAACAATAGGCCCCTGTGCATTGATGTCCTGCTCCTCTGTCCTGCTGGGGGCCCAGAGGGGAGCCACGCCCCTAGCAGCCAGGGAAGGCACAGTTAGGCACCTGTCCTGTCAGTATCATTTCCGAGTGATTCAGCTTTTCCACCTTTGATTTTTAACTGCCTCTTTGATCACGTATTAAATTCTCATTGATTACATGGATCTGTTTCTTACCCTTCCAATGATTTCATTTTTCTGTATCTGTGCCAATAACCCCATTCTTAGTTCCCACTCATTGCCAAAACAATCCCTTCCTATTCTTACACATTCTCCTTTGACCTATTTTGAAGTAATTTTTGTTGTTGATTTGGTGGAAGCAGATAGAAGAGCATAGACGTCAAAGCAGATGGCTCGATCAATTCCGGAATGAGAGCACTTATGTTCCAACTCCAGGTTGGGAAATACAGCAGCCCCCCAAGCCCATACCTGCCCCTCCCAGTTGCCAGCCCCTCGCCAAAGCTCCTACACCGATGTCAGTCCCAACATCCCTCTTGCCTTTATTTATTTATTTTCACTTTTAAGTGTGGTAAAATACACATAGCATAACCTTTACCACCTTACCCTTTTTTTTTTTCTGGTACCAGGGATTGAACTCAGGACCTTGTGCTTGTGAGACAGGCCCGGTGCCACTGAGCTAAATCTCCAGCCCTCCATTTTTAATTATACACTTCAATAGTGTTGGATACATTCGCACTGTTACGTGACCAATCTCCAGAATCTCCAGGACGCTTCATTTTGCAAAACTTAAACTAGCTGCTCCTTAAACAATTCCTTCTTCCCCCTTTCCCAGTCCCTGGCAACCACCGTCTACTTTCTGGCTCTGAATTTGATTATTCTAGGTATCTCATGAAAATGTAATCATACAGTATTTGTTTCCTTTGTTGTTTTGTGACTGGATCATTGCACTTAATGAGCAATATTTCATTAATTTTCAGTGCTTTATAATATTTAAGCAGGCAAATTTGTTTTAATTTATTTAGAAATTATAAATGTTGAGGGATATTTGGGGTATGTTAGCTTTTGATTGTGAATAATACATCTATGAATGTCTTTAATGTGCCTTTAAGTATACATGTATACCTTTCTTTTGAATACTTAGTGGAATTGGTGAGTCACAGTTATGTATATAGTTCAGCTTTAGTAGAAGTGGTGCTTCAGTTCACAAACTTAATTCGTTCCACAATTCTGATCATGAACTGAATTGTTTTGTGAACCAAATCAAGTTTCCCCATAAGGTTAACTATGAATAAGGTTAATCTGGCCTCAACCATGTGAATTTTTTAAACCACAAAAATAGGAAACAAAGTTCAGTACAGTGCAGTATGAAGAAGGGAACCTTCACCTTGCATGAGGTGACTTCTGGCGTGCAGGACAGGGAGGTGGGTGGGAGGAAGTTATTTGGAGGGAGAGTCCCCTCTGTGAGGCCATGGGGAGATCTCCTCTGGGGGTTCCTCTCTTCCTCGTCTCTTAGCTGCAGGGTCCATGTTGATGAAAAGCTGTCCAATGCCACTTGTTTTTTCCCATGCTGCGTAACCCTCTGGAAATGAGAGACCACGTTATCATTCATCAGAGTCAATACTCCGTTCATTAGTCATTTCAACATGGTGCTTCTCAAAGAAACCCTGGCCCTCGTTCCACTTTCCATCGTGGGTCTGATCACATCATTGCTAACCCGTGCCTGTCTTCCTCACCTCAGTGGATGCTCCTCAACAAGCGCCTTCCGCTGCTCGCTCAAGTTCAGCGAATTCTTCCATCATCAGCTCCTCCTTCTGGTCCTCAACAAGCTCCTCGGTCTGCACCATCGGTCTCCAGGCCCAGACTCCCGCTCATGACACAACCTCCTCCACTGCCTGTGCCTCAGAGCCTGCACAGTCACGCTCAGTGACACACTCCGTGCAGTTTTCTCCAGGTGAGTTTAGGGTCTGGTAGGTGACCTCTTCCCAGGCTTTGTCAGTGAGGCTGATGCAGTGGAGGACACTGAAATGTCTCTTCCAGAACTCTTTCAGAGCCCAGGGCGTTTCTTCAGTGACAAGAAAACCCTTGGTGAAGAGCGCCTTTGTGGGCAGCTTCTTGAAGGTACAGATCACTTGCTGGTCCAGGGGCTGCAGAAGAGGTGTCGCCTTGGGGAGAGGAACTTGACCCAGTGCGCTCATCGTCCCCCAAGGCTGGAGGTGTGCCGGGCTCTGTCTGTCGGAACAAGGCTCCTTTCAGGCAGTTGGTTGTCAGGGAGATATTTCTTAACAGTGCATGCGAACACCTCGTGCAGCCATTCCATGCACAGTTGCCTGTAATCCAAACTTTCATGGTGGCCCTGCACACTACAGGCTGTCTGGTCTTGTTCGCATTCTTGTTGAGTGCCGGGGGATCTGGGAATGGGACACCAGGAGTGGCTTAATCTTCAGATCAGCACTTGCATTCGCACTCAGCACAAGGCTCAATCTGTCCTTCATGGGCTTGTGCTCCCACGATGCCTTTTCCTCCTGAATGATATAGCTTCTGTTCCACCTCCTCTTCCAGAAGAGCCCTGTTTCCTCTCAGTTGAATACTTGTTGAGCGATGTATCCTTCTGCCTTCATGAATTCTGCAAATTCTTTCTTGTAGGCTTCTGCAGCAGCCTTCTCAGAACCGGAAGGCTCACCATTTGTTTATCACACTGTGGAGGCCACTTTTCTTGTGGAATTTATCAAACCAGCCTCTACTGGCTCTAAATTCATCGCTTGTTGCACTTGGAGAGGGTCTTCTTACAGTCAATCACTGTGCAATTTTCTGGCTTTTTCACAAATCATAGTTTCACTAACACTATCACCTGCCAGCTGTTTCTCACTCAGCCACTCTAACAAAAGTTTTTCTACCTCTTCCAGCGCTTGTGTCCTCTGCTTGGTTAACATCGTTACTCCTTTCCCCACATCAGCTCCTTTGATGGCATCCTTGTTCTTCTAAATAGTGGAGATTGTCAACTTAGCCATCTTACTCCGAGGCCAGATCAGTCACACGAATACCACACTCATGCTTTTCTGCAGTTTCCTTCTTCACTTCAATGGTTATTTTCTTCAAAACCTTCTGACCATTCTTGCTGTGCACTTTCTTGTCACCTTCATCACGGTTCTGCACTTTCTTTTCATCACCATGCTCACTCTGCACTTTCTTTGGAGCCGTGCTGGACTGAATAATATTGTACAGTATTATATGTATTAAAAAGCACACAAAAGGGCCAGGGATTTAGCTCAGTGCTTCCAGCGCCTGCCTTGTAAGTGCAAGGTCCCTCATTTGATGCCCGGTACCAAAAAAAACCAAACACACACACACACACACACACACACACACACACACAAAAGCTTCACAGCAACTGTGTAACCATGATCTTGACTAGAGGAAGCCACCACCCCATGTCAGAATGGGGAAGACAGCTGAGTTCATGTTCCTGCAGGGAAAATGGCCACAGTCGTGTTCATCACCAGATGTGGAGTTCATAAATGGTAGCAAAATTTTGCCAAAACACTTCTGTTCATGAACCAAACTGTTTGAAAACAGAAACATTTGTGAACCAAGGTATTACTGTATTGTCAAAGATTTTCTGAAGCTGTGCCAATTTGTGTACTCCACAGCTGTGTATGAGGTGTCTAGCTGCACACCCTCACCAACAATTGTTTTACTGTTAGCCTTTCTGGTTGTTTAAAAAGCAGTATTTAATTGTGGTTGAATATTTTTATTTTCCTTATGAATAATGAGGTCATGGCCATTTGGATATTATCTGGCGATGTATGTGTGAAGGATTTTTCAGGGATTTTTTTTTCCTGCTTCATTTCTCAGTAAGCTAAGGATTTCTTTCTTCATTCCGAATGAGTCCTTTGTTGGAAATATACATTACATATCTCTTCCTTCAATCGGTGGCTTGGCTTTTTCACTCTTTTAAAATGGTATCTTTTCATGAACCAGAAATTCTTCATTTTTAATGTATTGTAATTTATAAATGTTTTCCATGTCCTGATTAAGAAGCCTTTGCGTATATTTTCCCATGTTGTCATTTCAAAGTGTAATTGTTTTACTTTTCACATTTTAGATCTACAATGAAGCTGGATTTTTAAAAAATGATTTTGAGGAGATGAGATGAGATTTTTTTCTCCTTGTATATATCCACTGGCCCAAAACAACTCAGTAGGTAGATGATCCTGTCTCTCACACTACCGTATCCTCTTGGTTGTCAATCAAGTGTTAGTCTAGTGTCTGTCCTCTCTTCTGGTACATAGATCTGGTCATCTCTCCTTGGACCAATACCACACGGACCTATCACCCAGCATTATAATAACTTGTGATTAACTGTGCGAGTTATTCAGCCTTTCTGTTCAAGATGGTTCTGTCTTGGGGCAACCCACTTTCCAGTCCCCCTTCTGTCTTTCTTAGACAGAAGCTTTCTTTCAATACATTTTTCCTACTCTTGAAAAAAAGAGCTTGTTCCGTCTACTTTTGGCACTTTGTATTTCCATATATAATTTAAATTCAGCTTCAGCTCATCCATTTCCACATGTAAACATAGTAAAATAAACTAAACAAACCTGCCAGGATATTTTTGAGGATTACATGGTTTTGCTTAGTGTAATGTCCTCAGGCTCATCCATTTGAGTGAAAATTATTATTGTTACAATACTATATATCAGTTTGGGAGGAAGTTGATATTTTAAAAATATTCTGTGGGTCGGGGGATTTATCTCAGTGGTTCCACCTCCTGCCTGGCAAACGCAAGGACCCGAGTTCGATCTCTGGTACCAAAACATAAAAAAATAAAAAATAAATAAAAAATATTCTGTGCTCCTCTCCAGTATAAACATAGCATTGTTTCTCTTGTGTGAGAAACCCAAAGGGTAAATAAGGAGCAAAATGGAGGATAGATATTGGGAAATAGGAAGAAAATGTTCAAATAGGAAGGGAACAAGGGAGAGGGCAAGGGAAGGGAAGGAAGGGAAAAAGGATAAAAGAAGAATGGAAGTAAAACAAGGAAACAAAGTTTTGTACATAGGGAGGGTAAAAAGGGTTGAAGGAGGAGGGGGATGGGAAAAAAGAATTAAGATATATCATGTCCAGGTACAAATTCCCTGTGAGGAATGTGATCATTATGTGTGTCAGAAATGTACCAATAGATAATAATTTTAAAAATATGTGTTCTAGTCCACAGTTGTGTTATATTCTTAGATTTATTGATTTTTAATGCTTCTATATAATATTTATAGTTTCTGTATAGAGATCTTGCATGTTTTGTTAGATTTATTACTAAAATATTTGATTTTAAAATGTTACTATAAATGGCATCAACTTTTAGATTTAATTTTCTAATTACTTGTTGTGAATATTTAAAAATATAATTGATTTTAATTTATGATCTTATAGCCAGCAAATTGGCTGAATTTATATATTAATTATTTATCTGTAGGTTCTATTTGATTTCTTCTTTCTTTCTTTCTTTCTTTCTTCCTTTCTTTCTTCTTTCTTCGTCTTCTTTTAGTATTTGAGATTGAACCCAGGACCTCAAACATACTAAGTATGTGCTCTACCACAGACCTATACCCCAGCCAATTCTATTTGATGCTTGAAAAAAATATGGCAGTTTTGTTTTCTTCTTTCTCAATACTTACACATTTTATTCTCTACCTGTGGTATAATGTTGAATAAAATTGGTAATGGGGGCATCCTTGTCTCATTTTCAATATTGGAGGAAGGATGGCAATGTTGGATGATTAAATACTATGCTGACTATAAGTTGTCTTAAAATTTGATTAAGGAAATTCCTATTTATCATCAATTTGTAATACATTTCATCAAATGCTTTTTCTATATCTAGAAATGATTATATTTTTCTTTTATTCTATTAATGCAGAGATTTGTTCCTATTGATGTTTTCTTATTCAGCAAACCTTGAATTTCTGGGATAAGAAATTAATTTAACTGTAATATTCATGTCTTACACATCACTGAATTAACATCCTAATGTTTTGTTAAGGACTTTTGTAACTGTAGTCATAAGAGAAATTATCTTATAATATTATTTTCTTTTACCTTCTTGTCAGATTTTATCATCAAGATTATATTGCTTCATGAAACAAGTTAAGAAGTACGCCCTCTTTTTTTATGTCTAGAAAAGCTGGTGGTCATGAAATTGCATAGGTCAGAAACTCCTTTCCAGAAGGTTTATAACAGATTCAGGTGTTTGTTTGTTTGTTTTCCCAGCACTGGGACTCAACCCAGGGCCTCATGCATGCCAGACCAAGTCTATTAAACAAATTCAGTCTGTTTTAATAGAAAACAGACCATTCATACTTTGTATTTCTTTTATTGGTTTTAAGTCATGTTTTTCTAGAAATTATTTCATCCATATCTTAAAAGTTATAATGACAAAAAGATGTTTGTAATGTAGTATCTCCTTACTATGTTTTAATGCCTATAACATCACAAAATCTGCAGTGAGGTCCTTACTTTGATTTCTTATATAGTTCCTCCTCCTCCTCCTCCTTTACTTCCTTCTCTTCCTTCTTCTGCTCCTCCTTCTCCTCTTCATCAGTCTTGCCTTTGCAGATGTTTTTCTAGTTCATTTTCGATTCCTATGTTTATACTCTGTTTTGCAATTTTTTCTGGCTTTCTTATTCAACATAGCTTTTTAAAAAATTGGTGCATGTGTATTAGTCCACAATGATCACACTTCTTGTGGGAGTTGGCACATGTACACCACACATTTCGATTCACTTCTTCTTTTTCTGCCCCTTTCCTTTCCCCCCTCTCACTTCCTTTACCTCTTGGTCCCTTTTCCCATATGCAAAAGATTTATCTTGCTATTTCCTATTATCTGTCTTTTGTTTTTCTCTTTACTTATATTTTGGATTCCTCATGTAAAGGAACCATGTGATATTTAGGGTTGTGTGT